CGGGGGTGGTCTATCTCCCCCCGGAAGAACCAAAACAGAAACCAGTTTGTCTCTCTGAGTTTTGGGGTAGACCCTTTTAACTGCCAAAGTTTCATTGAAATCGGTGAGATGGCTTGTAGCACGACTGCCCGGTGCTCTCGTGGACACGCTCTTAACATATCTGACACCAGTGACTCATTGGACTTAAGGAACTAAAATATTCCTGCTGAAATTTTGCTTTGCATTCCGCATTGAGTTCTTCATCCCGTTAAAAATAATATTCTTATCATGATTAATGGAAATCAATGGCGTAGCAGTCAAGAGCTGGATTCAAATGTACATCAGGGTGGTCTCGACCTCTTAATTAAAGTCAATTGAGACAAGATTGAACTCCATTTAACCTCATTTAACCTTAGAGTGTTGAGTTATTTTGTTATTATTATTATAGCACAGCTAACATATCTAACCTCTCACAATTGCCTTAAGGAAAGTTGAATTTAACTCAATGGCTGCTTCTGCATCCCTTAGTGAATCCTGGTGATTTCCTGTTATTGAAATAAATATCTATGATTAGCCATACATGTTGCAAACCAACTACCATTACTATAATTTTGGGAAACACTTGTGATTCTTATTGATATCTGGGGTAAGAGGTTACTTCTTTGTATATTTGAGAGGCCAAGATAAGATCTTAATTTTTCCGGGCATGCATTCAAAATCATCACCTTTTTCAGAAAACTACTACTGACAACTCAATAGCTTCAAAATAAAAAAAAATGCTTATTAAAGCTCTAATCATCTTACCAAGTTTAAAATGTGCAATAGCCCTGTTGTTGTGCAGTTTGGCCTTCAGTTCTTTCTCATTGCAGTTCATTTTAATTCCTTTGGTGTAAAAATGAATAGCATTGATGAAATCTCCTTTCTTGAAGGCCTCGTTACCCTCATTCCTATAAACATCAGCTGTGGCTGCAAAGAAAAAAAAATAAAAAATGATTTGTGTCAAAGTCTGTGGTTGTAGTTAATAATTACCTGTGGTTGTAGTTAATTAGTGCATAAGCAGAGCTGTCAAGATCTGGAGATTTAAAATCTGCATATTATTTTTTTAGTGCCAGCTGCCACTTTTGCACCTGCCTAACTTGACCCATCCCCTGAAAAG